CAACCAGCTGGCTGAGTCTGAGTACTATACTCAGCCACTCTGAGCCCTGGTTTCCCTCTCCAACAAGGTGAGGATGAGCCCTACACTCAAGCTATCTACCTTACAGAACTGCTGTGAGGCTCGGATGATGAAAATGTTTGTGCCAGTTATAAATCAGGGAGGAAGACACGAAAATGCAGAGGACTGATGTTTACAGAATGTTTACTAATTGCAAAGTCAATTCTAACAATCCTACGAGATAGGCAGTATCGCTTCCATTTTTCAGATGAGGAAACAAACTCAAAAAAACTTAAGTGAAACTTTCCACGAGTAAACGATTCGTATGATTTAGATTCGAGTCTCTTTGACTTTAAAGCAGCCATTCGAGCGGCACAGCGAGCGTGTCTACCTGGCCCACCTCCATGAGACGGTAAGCTTTCTAGAGGCAGGGTCTGCCTCTACACACTTCCTCAGGGCACTGCGCTCAGTGGGTGCTCTCAGTGGGTGTTCTCAGCAGGTGCTCAATGAACTGTGTGTTTGTGGCAGGCTGCTGGGCAACAAGATCGGGGCTGATAGGTACCAGGTCTTTCTTTCCCTGCAAAGATGCAGATTTGACGATTTTTCCCAGTGCAAATCACTGAGCGGAAGAACTGCCACTCAAACTTCACTCAGTTAAACATGGTCGGGATCAATAAACTAAGAAATATCTTAAGTAATTACCAAATACAATTGTCTTAGAATTTCATAGTTAGAAGTGACAGGGTCTATGGGTAATAAGAATACTGCCATTAATAGGAACCTTGCCGTCAGTGCTGCTAATAAACAGCGAGTCATGTTTTGACACTAGAATATTTATGGTAGCAATAAACAGAACATTCACAGGAAGAATCTCATCTGCCAAAGACACATTTTCTGTACAACTGCATCTGTGCACTCTGTACCACGGCCAGCCTCACTGCCTTTTAATTACATTCTAAAGAAAACAAGGATTAAGAATAAATTTTTACTTTTTTTTCTCGATAAGGAAAAAAATGAAAGTTCATCGGAACATTTACATTCCCTTATCGGAGTTCAATTCCAAGCCAGTTGTGGTCCTTAAGAGGGTCTGCGATGTTTGAGTAAAAGGCAAATGGCTCCATCACCTTATGATCTTTATTCTTTCATCTTATCTTGTCTAAGAGATGAGGGTTCTCAGAAGTCGCACCGTTTTAGCTGGGCGGGAGTGTTTTAGTCGGGTGGCGTTCAGGACGGCTCGTAACAGTCCACGTGGAATGGTGGTTAACAGTAGCAGCGTAGAGCGGTGAGAGAGAGTTCGGGAAGGGTCACACACGGACATGGAAACGGTAGAACCAAGAATCAAACCCAAGTCTGTCTGACTGTAAAGTATAAGCTCTGATCACTAGGTCACATCGTATCTATTTGATTTTAGACAGGACAGTGATTCTACAGAGATCGCTAGCTTCTTGAGAGACAACGGAAACCGGAAGTGGTCCCAGAGGGACAGGGAAACTGTTCTTTTAGGAGGGAACCAATTCATCAAATCCAGCAAACTCAGTCCTGCCCGATATCTACTCACGTAACACAATTTCCCAGAAAATTCCTTTCCATACCCATGTGGTTATGAAAATACTCAGGGAGGTGAAGGTGGGCTTATTGATAGCCAGCGTAACAACAGGAGAAAAGCAAGAAGAAGGTGAAGAAATGGTGTATCTTACAGGTGGTGGGAAATTTTGAAAACCTGCGTCCTCTAGGAAGGAGGAGAACTAAATTTGGAATGAACTGGTTCCTTAAGTGACAGCACTACCCCATACTTTAATTAATTTAGTAGCTGATGGGTACAGTAGCACCGAGGGTCACTTCGATTCATGGTGTCAAGCCTTTACTAAGTATCTACCATATTTCATCAAACCTACACCACCACTAATTATAAAAAACATGATTTTACGTGCTACTAAGAAAAAGTGTTTAAAAATACCACCCGTTGTAACATCTTATTTACAGAAGTGTTAAAATGTGAAGAAATTTCTATTTGAAAATCAGTGTAATAGATATATGGTATTCGCTAAGTACAAGGGGGTGGATGATGGTACTGATCCGGGCAATTTTTAAAAGCCATACATGTTTACAAATAGTTTTTGCAGATAGAATTAGACCTTGGTGATAGAAGAAAGTTCACGGATAAGAAAATTATATGTTGGAAATTACCGTAGAGAGATGATAGCTACAAAATGTAATTACTGAAATATTTGGTTATTTCAAAAATAGGATTATGCTAATGATCCCTACTAGACGAAAAAATCCAAATAGATATAACCAAATGAAGCATCTTGAGGGATACCAATAATTACTTACAAGGAATAGGAGTTAAAGGTTTAGTCTTGCAACAAGAGGAGAACAGTATGTTCAAATGCCCACTATGTGGAGTTTAGAAATGAAGGAAATTAATATTTAGTGAGCATCTACTATGTGATAGGGTCAGCAGTACTAAGTGCCTTTTTTTTGTTAGATAACACAGACATATTGTTATATATTTACTATTTTATTTAATCCTCACAAATCCTAACAGGTGGATACTATTCCCTTTCTACAGATGAAGAAACTGAGCCTCAGAGAAATTAAATGACTTCTTCATGTCCTTTCAGTTAATACGATGACTAAGGATTGTAACTGCTCTGGGATGGCTTTACTAAGCCCTTGGCAAGACCCCAAAATTTAAAAGAGACCTGAGTTACAATGGGTCAAATGAGAACAGCAGATGCGATTCCGTGAGAGATGATGCAGGGTGTCAAGGGGAAGGTGAAAGACATTTTCTTGGCTCAAGGAAGAGTACAAAGTACATGCTCTGGCTGAGTGGTGGACCAGGAAACTAGTTATGGGAACTCGACAAATCAGGTACTGTTAAAGGACTCAAGTTCAAATCGATCATTTAACTTTGACCTGAGAAGCAGGTAGACGTAATTCCGGGCTTTCGAGAAGAGAAGTGATCAGATTAAAACGATACTCGAGGAAGGTAATCTTGTGAAGCAAGAATTTAAAGAACGGAGTGGAAGTCTGAATAAGGGGGCTACAGAAGAGGAGTGGAAAAGATTCTCACACTTGATTCTAGTATAAAAACACACAGAGCAGATAAATAATGGGATGACTTTTCCATGGATGATAGAGACAGAAAACAAAAAAAATAGATCAACACTTCTTTTGATGAGAAATGTTAATAGAAGTATGCCTGAGGGATGTATGCTGGAACTAGTTTTATTTAATATTCTCAAAACCATCTGGAGCTGGTGATAGTCACTGAAATAAAGCAAAGTACTCTCACACTATTTCACTAAGGCAGAATTACTAGCGTTTATCGCTGAATATTTCCTGTAACGGACATACCCGATCTGACTTCCATCCTTCACCCTCATTTCATTTCTTACCATCTACTCTTTCCTGACATCCAGCTCACTCAGGACCCCCGCCCCAGTGGTGGGAAGATCAGTGACAGGGTGAGGCAGCCTGGTTTGCGCATTTCTTGTATGTTTCATGGTTTGTATATAAGCTATGTCTAAATGCCCTTTACTCCCTTTGAGGGAGTAAAGAACTCCCTCAAAGCCACCATGTGAAAATGTCACAAACTCACATTATGTTTAATGTGTAGATGTTCAGAAAATTAATATGTAACTTATTTGAGTTAAATTTTTAAAAAAGAAGAAACTCTATTATTAACACATTGGACTTTTTTTGAGCTCGAAGGAGAAATACAGGAAAGGAAGTCTGGAATTAGGACCAATTCTGTTAGAATTTGAAAACCTGTGAAGGCGGGATCTACGTCTCATTTGTCCTTCTGCCCTGTACTGAGCAAGTGCTTAATTAACACTTGCTGAATCGAAGAGGTAAGTAAGATGAAGCTAATCATCCCGTATGGAATTAAATTTAAAAATCACTATTTTATTCTTACTCAATGTTAAATCTAAATAAGGATGCAGTTCTAGTTACTGCACTTAAACAAGCAAGGACAAAAAGACAAACGAAACTGGAAGAGTTTTGGGGTTAAAGAATAAAATCCTCATGGTGATCAAGTAGCTTGCACAGAAAATAAGCCTCTCTGACTTGCAAAAATGAAAACAACAGAAATAAACTAATAGATAGATTTACGGTGCGTGTGGATAGGAACTACATTCGCCAAATCCTGGTATACAGGAACGAAGGAGATAGTCTCAAAGTCTTAGAGGGTTAGTCTGAAGCCAAAGGGAGGGCATTATTTCTGAACCCGGGCCAGCGTCATGGGTGTGTGAGCTGTCCACCTGCACAGGGCCCTACCCTCGGCTCAGTGCCCTGCCGTTGAGGTCTTGAAATTCTTAGTCATTTAGGAACAAGGCACGCCACACTTTCACCGTGCGCTGGGCCCCGCGAATTAGGTTAAGTGGTCTTACGATAATATGGAGAGGTTATTGATCCTAAGAATTGCTGACGTTGACAGTGACAGCAGAGCTAACATGAGTTTGGATAATTTCGTGAATTAACGTAGAGCTCTTTTATGGCGTCTGTTTGAAAAAGCTTAAAGATATTTTGGGGTTTTCTTACACCTTTGAGGATGATGTAATAAGGTCAACTACCAACAGAGGGCCTAAGAGAAAATGAAATTTCTCATTATTATCCATCTGAAACCCAAAGTGAGACATGTTCTGCTATAAATTTGAGTAAAGTAAGGAATTGCAGTAGAAATACTGATCAATTATTTTTCAGGAGGAAAAATGAAATAAGATTAATTAAAAAACCAGAATTTCAGATGAACTCTCACCCCTTCTTCCCTCGTAGCATTTAACATAAGCAAGTTTATTTTGGCAGCTTCGTACGACCCTTATTCTCGCCGGTTTTCCCAGCTGCTTCCTTGTTTGACTCACTGGAACAATCTCGTCCCTTTCCCAGTTAGCTGGAAACCAGAATTTCTGACTGGAAAACATTTCAAAGGTGGAGAAGGAGCCTCAAACCTGGCTGGGGAGGCTGCCCCAGGGCACAGCTGGCTCAAGTCTGTACCTGTCGGAAAGAGCTTCTGGAATCCGGAATTCCTGAAATGAGGCTTGGAAATTTAAAGAGTATATTACAAAGTTACTCAGATGGATTTGCTAAATGTTTCTTATATGCCCCGTGTAATGAATTTGTTGGGAAAACATAAACTTTCTCTCCGAAAGGCCACTCGATTTTAAAATTACAGTAGTCCTAACGATTTGGAAAACTTCTAATTTGGCAAGCAGAAACCTTGGGAATGAAATGGGATAGGCTCTCTCCAGTAAAAATCCAGGGCTGCACCTAACGGCAGCCCCCTCCCGTAGTACATTATTACTTAGGGCCAAGTCTGCCTTTTCTTGGCGAAGACCAAGTCCTGTGGGGAAATGCCTGTGGGAGCAGGCCCTGGCTCTTCTGTTTAAGACATCCTGTTCTATTTTCTAATCACCTTATGGCACACGTTCCCAAAGTACGGTCCCTGAGCCATCAGCGCCACGTGAGACTCGCTGAAAATGCAAATTCTCAGGCCTCAGTCTAACACCTCCTAAAATATAAACTCTGGAGGTGAGGTCTAGCAATCTCCATTTTAACAAGCACGCTACCGATTCTGATGAGCAGAACTAAAGTTTGAGACCGATGCCTTAGGAAAAGTAAACAGGAGGCTTTGGTAGCACTTCCTAAAAATGAGGACCTTTTACGATTTAAATTTCCAAACGAGTCAGAAACAAGAACAGGAAAGTTCAGAGACTGGCTTTGAGAACCATAAACACTGAGTACGACAATAATAGAAAAAAAAGAACCAGCAAGTATGAAGACATGCATTATAAAGTCATAAGTAACATTTAAAAACTTTATGGTAAAATGACACGTTTTTTATTTATGTTACTAATATTTTAAATACATATGTTAAATATCAATCTATAAACGGATTTACATTAGTGGGGTCAACTGGTGATGATTTTTATCCTGCATAACTGTTTCTACTGCTGAAGAAAGCCATCTTATTTTTAACACAGAAATAAGGTAATGATTTAAAATTGAGATTTAAAAACACATAATAAAGAAATCGATTGGAAACAAAACATGCATTAGGTAACCAGCGACTGCACTGAAACAGATACACCACTCACATATTCCATTATGCAAATGAATTCAAAGATATTTCATGACTGATCAGCTAGAAGGGACATAATGATTTATAATTCAAATAACTGAGCACTGAAATCAAATTGAGCTAATATATATTTCTAAATATGCAAACCTGAAATAATTGTTAAAAAATATAAATCAACGTACCCAGGTTGAAACCATTCGTATCCCTCAGTTTAAAATGTTAGAGCTTTTAAACTTTTATCTAATAAGTTTTCTGAAAATATCATTTTTTATTAACTTTGAGAAATGCTCAAAAGCAATAAACAGCTTGTAAAACGAAAGGTCATAATTTTAGGATTAAAGAAGATCTACAAAATATAAGGTGATAGGAAAAAGGTCTTAAATAGCAGAGAAATAAATTAAGCGTTATAGAAATTATACTAAAAATACAAATCAAATTAATTTTATATCGGATCTCAATTTCAACATAAAAAAAAGAGGAAATCTAAACAATAGATATGTGCTATAAAATAACATAGGCATCTTTCCAGATAAGATGCTCTCAAAGTAATTGATTGTGAAAAGGCCAGAGTTTGCAATACTAGGAAGTACTTATAAACCACTTCATATGTTAGAAATGAAGAGTACTTCAGCATTATTATTAAAAAAAATATAGTTTGAGTTTTTTTTTTAATAAGAAAAAATACATAACTTAAAAAGCCAAAATGACCACTGGAATTGGGTTGTACATCACTTTCCACTAAAAAGGAAAAACAGCCCGGACAGGTGTAATTTATCATTTTTCTGATTTAATATCAAAGAAATATATTAAAATAATAAAAAGAATCCTGAAATCCTCAAAATTTGTAGTGATAAATAGCCCTCCCTGTCTTTATTGCATTATACCTACTAACAGAAATATTGCATGGTGGATTTTGCCAGACAAGGACGATTATTTTCCAATAAAAAGTTGCATATTAAATTCCAGCACAAAAGTGGGTGTCTAATACTTTGGAAATCTTTTATGGTTTGCCAAGGAACACAATTTTAAAGTTAACTAATACAAACATATTCCTGAAGTGAAGATTAAAGATTTCTATCCAACGCCACCCATTTTCAGAATGTTGTCTTCATATTAAAATATCAGCTAATCTTAGTGGTTAACTAAAGCAACATTTATTTTTCACAACTCCTATAGAGCTGATAGCTAACGTATAAAAGACAATCTACATGCTTTTCTCTCATTGGTAGAAACATGACGGTATTATTAATTATAACCTAATAGGAGAAGATGATTCAGGTCTTAGATTTTAAAAATCTGCTAATGAGAGAAAACGAAATATTTAATGTAATGGAAAATCTTACTTTAGAGTAAATAAGATGTTTACTTGGTGGGACCGATAATCAAAGAAGTATTCAAAAAACTTAAATTTTTCTACCTATTACTCCTTTGTGCCTCTTAACTAATGAAAATAATATTCTTCTCAGTTAAGAATACTGAGGATGTATTTACTCTTAGGAATTCAGTTTTTATAAAGTAGGACATTCTGATCTTCTTAAAATTAGTTAAATGTTTTCTTTTAAAATGAGAATGTCCTAAAAATTATGAAAAATCATGGACGAGAAAACACATGTGGTTGCATACTTTCTTATATAACAATTTATTAACCTGGGTGGGTATAAAGGTAGCTTTAGTTAGTTAGGAATCTATATATCCATATAAATTCACTGTGACTAGAAAAAATGCTTTATAGTACAGTAAGTAGCCAATATAAATCTTTCAAAAATATGCATTTACAGATAAGGCTTTTATTTAAAAAAAAAAAAAAAAAACTTGCAAAAATTATAAACAAGAAAATACCTGGCCAATAGAATTCACTTGTCAGGTTCTTTATATATATTAGTAGGTTTATAGTAAAAAGGATATCCAACAGAAAGGTCATTTAGGAACTGAAGGGTCCTTGAAATGACAGGCTCACATCTTCCCCAGTATTTAAGGTTGGTAACACTAAATATAAAAAAGAAGTTTTTAATTATAAGTAAGTTATTTTCTTGTACGGGGAGAACATGGAAATACACATACATTCCCAGAAGTGAGATGACCCAAACCGCAAGACACAGTGGAACATGTTCCAATCTATTCTTTTTACAGCACATCCAACATGATATACAATCCATGGACAATGAACACTACTCTCCAAATGGTGTGTAATTGTCTAAGTTTAGTTTCGTAGATAAAGTCTTCCACGAGAGAAATATTAAGTATGTATCTAAGACAAAAATATTAGAGAGTGACAGGAGTTACACAGGAAGTCAAACAGAGGTTCACAGTTACCCACCAAGAAACGAACTACCCAACTCGTGGCTCCAAAACTGTCTTCTTAGAATCGTGATTGTTTATCTAGCTTCGTTCTCTATAAACCAGACAGTGCTGTCCGCCGACTGCACAGATAAGGTGGGATGCCAAGTGAAGGCATACGCATTTAGGCTGAGTGTACAAAGTGGAGTCTATGGCTGGAAACTAGTCAATTCTGCTAATATTGTAAGGAGAATTCAGTTTCCATGGACGTCTCCGATAGCCACAGGTTCCTGCTGCAATCGATGACCGCCCTGTCTTAAGGCCATCGAACCTCTCTCCACAATTCCAATTTGCAATAATCTCTTCAGTTGGTCTTTGAAACTGGTACTTTCTTTTTAATTAACAAAAATGCTGCCCAATTGATCTGAAGAGCCAGTCTGTACACTTTTGAAAACTGTGTTTTGATGTGACATACTGCAGTTGAAGGGACATCCTGACAAATAACAATGTCTTCTGGATGGTAAACTTTAAATATGAGAAATTAACTTTCAATTAAGAAGCATGCCACCATTCTAAGAACTAAACCGTAATTTTCAAGTTTTCATTAAAAAATAATATTTACAAAGAAATTCAAACACAGTAAAGGGATCTATCGGATTCAAACCAACAAAAACAACAACAAAAAAATCAAAGAACCAAAGCAGGACTCACATTTTCGTCATGAACGTTTCTAGAACATGGTTGTCATCTGTTATTCCTAAAACTTCTGACATACGAGCGTACACCTGCATGAAAACATTTAATTGTTAAAAGCTTTGTCATTAACATACGTTTTCAAGAGACTATCAAATTGAACAAAAGTAAGATTTAATGTATTGCTGCATCCACGGTAAAGCAGGGAGCGGTGAGGGGAGCAAATGAAAAATGTTCAGAATTGTAAACATTTGCCCTCTTTTTCTTCCAGGAAGCACCTCTCTTATTTTGAAATACATTCCAGCCGCACTCACATACTCATTTTACTCCTAATACACTCCATAAAAATTTATGTTCTCAGTGATCAACTTCCCTTTTCTCAGAGATGGGAGGACGCATATGAAGGGTCGGGAAGCGGATTCCTTCAAAAAAAGGTTCCAACATTCAAAATTTTTCATCCATTCCAGAATTCAGTAAATCACCATATAAACCAGGATTACTTAGGCAGTTATTTACAAAAAGGATTTCAAAAATAAAAGAAAGTTAAAGAATTTACAGAAATTGTCCTCAAACCTCTCAATTAATCTCCCCCAAAATATAGAGATAGGTCTTACTTTCCATGCTGGAAGTGAAACCCCAGGCTCAGGAGCTCTCCGCTGGGGACGCAGGGCTGGGCATCCACTACGCTTCCACTCAGGGAGTGCTGGTTGCAGAGTTTGGGGTACGACATGTCAGTCCCAACCCAAGCCACTTGAGCTTATAAACACGTATCCCACTTCGAGTGGGGAAATGCCGCTGGCAGCCAATGGAATACTCCCGACTAGCCTGGCAGAGCTGAGAGGTGGGTCGACACCTCCATACTCCCTTATGCTCTGGTGTGATTCCAGGTTCCCCCTGCCAGACACCAGCTGCATGGGGTTTCTCTTCGGTGACTTGATCCCCTGTGATTGTGTTTTCTCACTTTCTCCTGATCTGCCTACTTCCTATGGCATGGCGACTTCCCCTTCCCTGCTTGTGCCTTTTGTTTTTCCTAGGAAAACAACAGCTTGATATACTGCCACAGATCATGAAGGTGGGAAAGAAATCACAGGGCTAGACGGTTATTTATACAGGGGAGGAAAGCTGGCCATTGCAAAGGTCTCATGTTCGGATTGAAACACTTTTTAAACCACAAACTTGTGTTCCAAGAGTTTGACCTAAGTCCTATGGCCAAAAGCTCCTCGGGCTGGCAGAGTCAATCAGACAGAGAAAGCCGGAAAGGAGGAGGAGCGAGCAGAGAGGACGAGAAAAGGCAGGAGGGAGCAGGGGGTGCAGGGGAAAGGCTGGGGGAGAGAAAGAAAGATTCGACTTCCTGTTGCTTCTTACGCTGACTTCCGAGCCCTACAGAAAAGCATTTCGATGACTGTGTCTGTGACTGCTCAGGGGAGAAGGCCTTCTTCATCTCTGTAAGACTGCAGCCATCACTGTGTCTGTAAGATGTCTGGGGAGAAGAGGGGAAGGGAGAGCCCAGGAAAGTTAGTTCCCACCAAGCCTCGGTGATTAGAAACCTTTAAGCACACAGAAGGCTCAAAGAAGAACGCTGTGTAGAAAGGCAAGTTCCCCCATCTCGCCACGATCCAAAACGTCTCTCGGGGGTGGGCGCCCCTGGGAATTGGGTCCCTTGGAGAATGTGATATTGACATGATTAATGGGATACAAGGCCCTTCACAGCTTGACCCCAACCTACTTCTCATCTTCTACGGTTCCCTACAACCTGAAGCCACGGGGAGACGCTGCTGGATGACAGGCTTCTCGTGCAATTTCGGATCTCAGAGTTCATGTGCTGTTCATTCGGCCTGAATCAGCCTCTTTCGCCTCTTCCCCGATCCCCACTGAAGGGTCATCTCTCTGAAGCCCTCCTTGCCCTCCCGGGCACAGTGAGTTGAACTCGCCTGTGTTTCCACGGCGTCTGGTCCATTATTCTATCATGGCACTTTTCACACTGTAACTGTTCGGGTGTCCATCTCCCCCGCTATCCTGCATCGTGTTTTTGTAAAATCAAATTTTATATTTTTGAGACTTTATAAATGCTATTTTTTTATGGCAAAGCTCAGAATTACTCTGATTTTGATTTTACCCAAATCACAGTGAATAATAAAAATATAACAACTAAAATGAGATTTTAAACATTTAAGACAATTTGAACGTTAAAAAATATTTTGAAAATGGATAGTTCTTACAAGGAAGCTTTCTGTTGTGTTCCTGGCATTCAAGAAAGGAGACAGCTAGGCAGGTGGGTCTGTTGTGCTCTGCTGTCAAAACAGTTTCTCAAAGCATCAGATTTGACCCAATAAGATACTAGAAAAAACAGTCAACATTGACACATGGCAGTGCTTTAATCCACAATTATCCTTGTAACTTGCACCATTCCTTTTATCATCCATTAGCTTTGATTCCCATTATCCCATCTAGAACTGTGTCAACGCTTTTGTCCCTAGGGATTTCTCTCCACTACTAGGATCTGACAGTCAAGCTTGAGTACTAAACAGGATCATTACCTCTTAAATCCACTTATCTGATCTACTGAATAGTAAATTGAAAAGCTCATTAAGAGCAACAATCTGATTTGTTTTCATGTGTGACAGGGTCATTTAAAATCAATGTATGATTACTGCATTTCTTTTAAAAGACTGTCTCACATTTTCCAAGGCACCTTATCATTCAGAGAAATTGCAGATAATATGAAAATGTCTTCAAACACTGGGAATTTAATTATGCCACAGACATACATAATTTGGGGATGGGAAGTAATGTGTCCAGTGAGGAAGTATTCATCATAAAGTACAAGTGCCTGAAAGTTTTCTATAGAAAAAATTCTAACACAATATTTAGGGGTTTTCGACATTGTCTAAAACTCCTATCACTTTACCCAAAGAAGAAACGACATCACCATACTCATATTAAGGAAAGATATAGAAGTTGGCATAGGAATGCAAGGAGAGGTCAAAACTCACTTTAATTCATATAGTCCTAACCTTTTATTTCAGACTCAATGAAGATAACCTGATCATAGTGGAAAACAAGCAAAAATCTAAGAAATAAGAGACTAAGTCCATTTGTGTTGTTCATCCTTCTTTGAAGGATACAATGAAGTTGAATAAACAGTTATGTCTTTGGTTACGTGTTTCACATAATCAGAGACGCACACGCAAACCCAGTTTTTTGCCTGTCAGCCTGGGCTGTGCCTTCTGCCCCCTCTTAAATCTTTTTAATATGCTTGTATTTCTCTCCTAGACCACCACCTCCCTGAGGGCACAGATGACGCTGTCTTTTATCTCCTATGCCTAATACTCAATAAATGTTTGTTAAACGACGAAAAAAGCGTAATGTGAAAATGCACACTTTTGGCTGATTCTATTTCATTCATAATTTTTTAAGGAAAGGAAAACAATCCATACAAGGATTGCTTTTTACACAGAACTTTTCTTCTGTAAAAATAACATACCCCGAATTCCACTCACCCAAGGTGACCCCCGGTAAAATTTTGTTATTTAAAAACATGTGGCTTTAATGCTTGAATAATATTTCTGGAAGGTGTTCTTCTTGTAGATCCAGTAAGAAGAGCTCTCCTCCCTAGAATACTCGGAGCGCCCGATGTCACCAGCCTGTTACTGCCATTTCTCAGATGACAGAATAGGTCTAGTTAGAGGATTGCTTTTCCCTGTGAATATGGAAAATTCATTCTCCTCCACCATCTTCACTATTTCAAACACGTGTTGCCTGAGGGCAGGAAAAATGTCTATTTCTCTATACATCTCCAGAAGTACTTAGAACACTGTCCTGATAAACTTAGCAACAGAAAAAAGCACGGCTTTGGTCCCAAAGAGACGTGAGTTTGCATTCTGAGTCTCCCACTAACCAGGTATTACTGTGAGTCTCTGATTCTTGGTTTCCTGTCTATAAAAGAGAAACCATAGTAATATTGACTTTATGGGCTTTGGGGAAGACTAAGTGATGACGCCTAACATAGAGCCCGGCCTGTGTTCTCCCACAAATGCTGCGACCCCTCCTACTCCATCTCATAATCCTTTTCTCACAGTAGATGCCAAAAGCTAATATCTTTTCGAGAGGTTTGTTACATAAAAAATAACAGAAAGGTAAGAAGGTGCTCACCATGAAGACTTTCCCATGGCACAGAGAAACACACAAAATCTTAAAATCTGTACTAACTCTGAAATCTTCACATACATATTCAGTCGACACGCTCTAATCACAGTCAGAAATGGCATTTGCTAAAGGCATAAAGCTTCAAGTATTTCATGATAACAAACCAAATTCTTTCTACTTTTAAAGTTATTGCCTTAGAAGCTAGAAAAATTACCCATTTTAACCAGTCATCCATCTCTCTAACTCTTGAAATACAAGAAGTTGTCAGAAAAGTAAGAAATTACCATTATCATAAACTTGAGAAGGCATGCTCCTAAGAAACTGTTTTAATGTTTGTTTTATTATCTCTATTTTACTGTAAATTTTCTTTTAATTTCCAGAAAAGAGCATTTGGGTATGTTCATAAGGCTTCAATGACCCCACACTTTTCTTACTTTCGAACTAACCAAATGACAAATATTGCCTTTGCACACGCAGGTAGCTTAAATGACCTTATATCTGTTTTTTAAAAAAGAAGCCAGACGAGATAAGAAAACCAGACAAGGGAATAAACATACAAACAGCAATAAGATTTTGAGTTGTAAACTTAATTTAATAAAGAATAAAAGCATGTGCCATGATAATTTTTAAATTGCTTTCTATTTCCAATCCTAATCCTTGGTCTCGAGTATCTGCAGCACTGTCTCTAACATTTTGGTTATAACTCTGAAGAAACTAATTATGTCAATCCTTAAATTTGAAGTAGATCACAGAACTGGGAAACACAGAATATTATTTCCTAAAGGTTGTATGGATATATAATGACAGTCACAGAAATTCAATAAGAGCCCTCTATGAAATGTACTCAAAAGCACCACATGAAACAAATTAAAAAGAACAATGAATCGCTCATTCTGTGCAAATAAGAAAATAAGAGAAAGACTGGTTCTATAGGTTTTCATAAGAG